CCCCACCCCACCCCACCCCACCCCACCCCACCCCACTGCTGCAGCAGCATCTCTAACTGCCCAAGCATCCAGGAGGAAGATCCTGCTAACTCTGAAATGAAGAACTAAGACCCTTGCACCTCAATGTTATCTTGAGCTAGCAGCATGTTCATCCGCAGAACTTAGTCACAATGCCAATTGTTAATAATATCTTCATAGTCACAACACTACCATTGAGGGCAGGGTGCTCCAGCAGAAGTGCAAGGGCTGGCTGCATCCAGTTGCTAAGGACCACTCATGACATAAGGCCTGAGACCATGTGGGTCAGGCAGAAAGATGCACGATAGTGGAGCTTCCACTCAGGAGACTTCAATCCTTGCCCAGTTGCTGGGAACAGATAAGTTGCTGGTGCTGAATGCCTTTGCTCCCATAGGTGGGTAATTGTCTGACCAGACAACTGGGCCTTTGCCAGCCCCACATTTGGAAGGAAAGTGCCTATAACAGTTTGATTAACAGACACAGCTCTTGTAACTCTAGACTACTGCCTACCTCCCCACCCACCACGGCCACCAGTCTTCCAAATACCAGCTCACTGTTCCACTAATCTGTACACAACCTCTACAGTCCCCATCCTTGCCACCTTGGACCAGCACAGGCCTCTGTACACATCACCACAAGACCAAAATCACCCTGGCCTGAGGCCTAAGGCAGGACCTGTACCCTGCCCCAAATGCCTGTGTAGCCCCTTGTAGGCACTAACAAATGCTAATGCACAGTGCTTCCCATGTGCCTTGAGCAGCCCTTACTCTGGTGCCCCTTTTCCTGGGATCCAGCTGCCAGAAGAGGGTGATAAGGAGCTCACCTATGGATGCTACAGCCACTAGTTCCATCTGCATCTGCCCCCCCCCCCCGCAACTAGCCCTGCTCACCGCCCCACAGATGACCACCCTCTTCTCTCCTCTTAGACCCTCAACTCTGACCTTACACACCATGGCTCTGGAGCTCCCAGAAGGAACAGCCCATGGTAGTAGACAAGGAGTCTACAGCGTCTAGCTGGATAGATGCTCAACAACTCTTATGACCTTGTACCCAATAAAGGCTCAGCCAGCTGTCCCCCTGGCCCATTATTAGGAACCCTAAATGTGGCGGGAGACCAAAGGGGGATGTGCCCTGCATCACAGACCTCAAACCCCACCAGGGCAGGCCATTCACAGATACTCACATCATCCACACACCGGCTGCGATATTCAGAGGGTGGATGGTGACACAGTTGAAGAGTCCAGAGATGGCACAGGCTTCAAAGCAAAAGACATGGGCAGGAGTTAGTGGAGTATGGATTAGAGCTTGCAGAAGGCTGTCTGGGCAGACACTCATGGGGCTCCCTTCAGATGCTTAGCACTGGGGCTTCCCTCAGCAACAGCTGAGAGTAAGACTCAATAAGCCTGTTTCTGAACCTCAAATATAGCTACTTTCACACTTGGGGGATGGCACCCTTCTCAAACATAAGGCTCTGGTGGGCCAGCCCTTGGTTCCCAGCTATTATCAAAATTTCCTCAAGAGGTCAGGCCTGTTCTGCCTTCAACAAGAACCTTAGCGAGTGCCACCTGTCATCATCCACAAAGCAGGCTTCTCAAGAAGCCCTCTGGCTTAGAAAATTCTATTCAGATTTGAGCTGCTTGTTGTTGTTTATACTTGCTTGGTTAGAGTTCTGGGTGTTTTTTATCCCCCTTTGGGACAGTCTTTTTTGGGTTTTGTTGTTGCTGCTGCTGCTGCTGCTGCTGTTTTTCCTTTGAGACAGATTCCTACTCTGTAGCCCAAGCTGACCTCAAACACTATCCTGCTTCCTCAGTCTCCTGGGGGCTGGGATTACAGGTATGTGCCACTGTGTCTGGCTACAGCTGACCCTGAATTTGGGTCAAGATAGGGATGCCTCTCATGATACACTGATGGGCACCAGGTAAGATCCAAATGACAGTCCCACATCTAAAACACCAGCCTCGTGACCCTGGGCGTGCAGCTTTCTAAACTCGTTTTCTCTCCTACATATAGGCATGCTGTGTCCCAATAGAATATCACAACACCATGAGGGGACAGTGTCCTCTTCCCATAACTTTACTCTAGTGTGGAGCCTGAGGCTCCTCTCCTATGACTGCACCTAAGGGATGCAGTCTGCCACACCCACTCATAGCCTGCAGCTGGCTTCACCAGGAAGTCCCTCACCAGGAACTCTGGGAGCCTTTAAGGACATTCCTGGGAGCTGCCCAACCTGGCCGGACACAAGCCCAGGTTGTTGCCAGGGAGGGGCAGAGTGTTGACCCTCTGAGACTGCAATTATCAACCAACTCATTAAACTTGCAGCAGGCCCATGGTACCTGATCCCTCCACTGGGCCTGGAATTCCAGTGGAATTCCTTTTTCCTCTTTCCTGTGTTACACTATACAAATGGAAGCTGATGCAGGAGAATGGACCAAATGACTGACTCTAAATGGCATAACTCCTAAGCCATAAAGCCTCCTCCTCTAATACAGAACTCAAAACAGCACTCATCCAGGGCTCCAGAAGTGGGGGACTCCCTACTTCCTACCTGGCCTCACCTGAGGGGCCTGCACTGTCGCCATCGGCATCCGATCTATGGCTCCATTCCACCCAGGCTGCCCTACACAGCCAGCCTTGGGGAGGACCAGGTCACAACCCAGATAAACAGAAGTCCTCTGACAACCAAGGACTCAAATCCATGCACTTGGAGTGCTACTGCTATGTCCTCCATAAAAGGGATATGTCACTATACAATTCTTTCTTCTTTAAAGCTATTGTCTACAGATGCCTTTGGGACCAAAAAAAAAAAAAAATTCCTTCAAAGCCCTTGACCCTAAAAGAAGACAACCCTATGCCAAAGTGGTTGACTAAGACACAGCTCTTGTCAAAACACCTACCGAATTTCTAAAGCAAATACACTTTTTCTCTCCCCCCACCCCCATGGTATGCCAATACTCGGAGGCATTCAGGTCATGGTCAGGATCTTCCTTGCTCCTGCACCCCTTAATACCACCTTGAAATAGCTAACTGCGCTGAAGAAGATTTGAACTCAACCTCAGCAAGTTCCCTTCGGAGCTGCCTTATCAGGGCAGCACAGACCTAACCCCACCCTTTCCACCTGAGCTTCCAGCTGGATCCTGTGGACAGATGGGGTTCCAAGGTACTCCTTCAGGCAGGAGAGCAGATGGGTCTGTCCTACCCACACAGTTTCTGCTCCTGTACCAACCAGGTAGGCAATGGGTTCCTCGGACCTTCCTTTCCTTACCCCCGGGGTTCTAGGAATTCACAATGAAAGGGGCAGACAGGATTTAGGAAACACATTCGGTTCAAAGGTCTGGTTTGGAAGGTCAGCAACATAGCTGCACATAAGAAGCAGACCTGCCTTTCTCTTTTATCCTTTTGGAGCTCTCTGGGACCTAAACTCAGGGGGTGTGAACCAGGGATTGGTGTGGAAGATACCCGGCCGGTGAGAAGCATTAGGAGAGTGTGAACAGCTAAAGAGCCCCAATCTAAATGGACAGTGAGAAACCGAAGAGAAGCTGCCTGTACCCCACTCCCTCCCAGCCATCTTGAGGGACCATCTACCCCCCTGGTACCTTCTGACTCCGAAGCAAACTTCCCAGCCTGTGGCGACCTGCCTCCGCCCCCACGTATGAACAAGCTTTGCCCAAAGGCTGGGAATTTGGCAGTCCCACCCCGGCCCGGGTGAGCATAGCCAAACCGAGGAGGACCAGGAAGAGAAAGACGCGCGTCCCCCCTGAGTCTCGGCTCCTCTGGACAAGGCCAGGTCAGCTCGGCCTCCGACCACCGCACTCGGAGTGGCAGAACGCAGGCCGGAGGCCAGGAGCCATGGCAACCCCGGGGACGCCCGCTCCCCAGCCGCGGTACTCACACACGGCCCCCAGCACGCCCGCCAGACGGCACAGCCAGCGGTACCACCATGTCATGCCCTCCTCCTGTGCCGGCGGGGCAGGGCCGGCAGCCCCACCGGCTGCGCCCAAGCCGCTCATGCTGCTGGGACGCTACGCGCTAGGTTGCGCACAGCCCCAGGCACGCACAAAGGGACGTGTCCACCGCGCGCGGCCTTGTGGGAGAGGCGGCGATTAGCATAGGGGCGGACCCGCAGGCCAGTAGCGCGGTGCGGGAGGGTGGGTCCGGGACGGGCGTATATTAGCATAAGGGGCGTGTTTACAATTCGTTAAGCTTTCTGTGCCGCCAAGGCCCAGCAGGTGCACCAGATTCAGACTGGCCTTTTCTCTCTCCAAGGTTGGGAGACTTACTCTAGAAGTGGCGAAGGCCCTGCTTAGACGTCCAGGGAACCCCGCCTTGCAATAGAATGAGCTTTCAAGCCCTGTTGAGGCAGGTTATGGGAGGAAAACGCCAGTTAGGTTTACTGTATCCTTTATTAGCAACTGGAGCTGGGACTGCTTTTCCGATCTCCACCTCCCAGCCCCAGCCAGCCCTTCTGCACCTTGAAAAGGTCCTTAAAAGAGGTTCCCTAAGGCTGGCAGGCATCAGAACTCCCAAGAGGCTAGTGTTGCACCCTCCAGGGCTGGTCACTTAAGTGTAGGGTTGCCTCTCTTTCAGGCAGTTGGAGAGGGATCTAGGACAGAACCAGGCTGTTGTCCTGTTCCGGTGTCCTCAGTGGGATGGTCCAGTACAGACCCTGGAAGCTAGCATGCGCCTCCAGGAAACCAGGGCTAAATTCCAGTTCAGCCTCGCTGCCTTCCGACTCCCAGTAGAGCGTCTGCTGCCCCCAAAATGTTGTGGTCCTCAGACTGTGGCTATCCCTGATCTGGGGAGAAGCAAGTAGCCAGGCCAGGCCATGAGTAATCATTGTCTAGAATTTATAGACTCCTGGCTACTTAGGATCATGTCTGATTCTCACAGGAGCTCCCATGAGGAACACTGTTCTCTCCAGGAAACTGAAGCTCAGAGACTTTGGGCCCCTTCCCCAGCACACACAGCCGGGTGCCAGAGCTGGAAGGCTGCTGACACCTGACTCTGGGGTGATCTGATGCCTGTAGAGCACACAAACCCTCAACTCTACCTATGCTCTTCTGAAAAAAGAAACAAAACAAAAAAACAGAACCAGGCATGAACATGATGCTTCCATTCTGGTCAACAAGCAATCTATCCCCAGAAAAGGGTTTCCCTTTTCTTGCAGGTAGAGCAACAAGCACTTACTGGTGAGTTAGTGGAGGAAACCCTTCTTCCTACTCTTGCAAATAATTTTGAAGTCTGGGTGAGAAATAAACTGAAAGGGTCCCCTAAACCCAGCATCCCCACTCCCAAAACGTTAACAGTCACCCCACTTCTGTCCCCGTCCTGGTGACCTCACCGAGACATAGTTGGCATTGGTCCCCTTAGAGGCAGTGCCCACACCACTGGCCAGAGCACGGATGGCAATGCGGGCCTGTGGAGCCACACTGATGAAAACCCGGCAGCTCCTCGCATTCCTCCAGGCTGGGCTCCGTGGGGGACTCACAATTTCACCCCGAGGTCCAAAGAGCTGCCTGTCACATTCTGCAGGCAAGAACAAGTAGATTGACTGGCTGTGGGCCACCTCAGGGAGACTACTGATACCAGGATGGTCCCTGGCAGACTATCCCCTCCCCAATGTTGAGCCTTCACTCTGACCACTTTTTGGTTTTGTTTTTGTTTTTGTTGTTGTTGTTGTTGTTGTTGTTTTTGAGACAGGGTTTCTCTGTGTAGCTTTGGAGCCTATCCTGGCACTCGCTCTGGAGACCAGGCTGGCCTCAAACTCACAGAGATCCGCCTGCCTCTGCCTCCCGAGTGCTGGGATTAAAAGGTGTGAGCTGCCAACGCTTGGCCACTCTGACCACTTCTAATAGACTGGCTTCAGGCAGTGATCTGAAAGGGGCAGGTGAAGGTCTTTGTACAAGCCTGACAACTTGAGCCTGATTACTAGGACGAACATGGTGGGAAAGAACCACTAACTCTGCCCCCTGCCCCACAACACACACACACACACACACACACACACACACACACACATTTTTTAAGGGAAAGGAGGGCTGATGAGATGACTTAGTGGGTAAAAATTTGGTTCTTTCTGCATAAGCCTGACAACCTCTTCAACCACAGGAACCCACATAAAGATGAAAGGAGAAAACTGACTCCATGGGGTTGCCCGTCCTCCACACCCACGCCATGCCATGCCATGCCCACACACACATAGTAAAAATAAAGAAAATAATTTTAAGAAACTGAAAGGCTCCAAGGTTTGGTTCCCTCTGCTGTGAGGAGAAGGGAACAGTGGCATGCTTTTGGCAGGGGGTTTTAGGAGAGGATTAAGTGGGGGTTGGAGAGATGGCTCAGAGGTTAAGAGCACTGGCTGCTCTTCTAGAGGTCTTGAGCTCAATTCCCAGCAGCAACCACATGGTGGCTCACAACCATCTGTAATGAGATCTGATGCCCTCTCTGGCCTGCAGGCAACATGCAGACAGAATACAATACATAATATTTAAGAGAGAGAGAGAGAGAGAGAGAGAGAGAGGATTCAATGAACTTGTGCTATATACATAATATTTAAGAGAGAGAGAGAGAGAGAGAGAGAGAGAGAGAGAGAGAGAGTTGTGCTACAAAGTACTTCAAATACAAAACTGGGAGAAAAGTTGGGTTTCCGTTATGCTGTCCACAGCTATCGTCAGTAGTCTGTAGGAACCCTCCTTAAGGCACATTGTCTGCATGTGAGAAGTGAGAGGCAATGAGAATGAAGCCAGTGGGCTTCCCAGGACCCCACAGCACCTGTCACTTAGCCACCAGCACAGCTTACTGCTGGTGGCAGCTGTGGAAAAGGGTGACACATTAAACCTCTGCAGAGGCTGGGCAGTGGTGGTACACACCTTTAAACCCAGTGCTTGGGAGGCAGGGACAGGTGGGTCTCTGTGAGTTTGAGGCCAGCATGGTCCAGGACAGTCTCCAGAGCTACAGAGAAACCATATCTTGAAAAACAGAAGGAGGAAGAGGGGGAGGAGGAGAAACAAAACAAAACTCCTTTGCAGAGGCAATGCCCCTGTTGCACCACTTTTACATGAAGCCCGGGCCATGCCGAATCATCTGGAATTGGCAAGGTAAAAGACATCTTCGGTCACCTTAGACTTCTACATCAAACCCGTGAGGTGATCAAGAGGGCTCTTAGAGAACTGTTTGGACTCAGGGCAAAACAGGAATCCATGAGATGTCCTCTGTCTGAAGAGTATGGAGTGCAGGCACCTTATTTGTGAATGTTCCCGTACACATACAAGTCACCAGAAGCAGGCTGGGGGAAAGTGGTTCACAGACCTGAGAGGACCTGGAAAGAGCTGAGAACCAAGGTCAAGGGAATGGGCAACGGTGTGAAGGACGGGACAAGGACATGGATCACATCTACGTCCACTCATCGAGCTTCATAGCTACAAAGGAACCCTATCCTGGCCATTCAGAAAACATTGCCTGCTCCCAGTTTCTATCTTGGCCAGTTTTCTCTTGGCCTGCCCATGACCCTGTTGAAAATGCCCTGTCCACAGAAACACAGGCATAACCACTCAGTGAGAAGGTGGGGAGGCCCAGGCCCCTGGCTGTACCTCTGTAGAAGGTCCCTGGAGCAGGCCGGCTCCAGTACTGTAGCAGTACTCCTCCTCCTGACTGCACACGATGCTGCCTCACCACCAACGTGTTGGTTTTGGTGCTGAAAGTCATGCCAGACATCTTCCAGCATGTCTTCCTCCATGTGAATCTACCCCAAAGCAGCAACAGCTCCCCTAGAAAGGGCAGGACAATGAGGAGCCAGCACCTCCACTCCTAGTCAGCAGCAGTGGCTCAGGGCTGAGTTCAACTAACCACTCTCCCTCTTACTGGCTAATGTGACTAAGTAGGGGGCATGTCACCAAAGCTCTCATCCCCCCAGGTTCCTGTTGGATAAATGGACAGCCCCACACTCCAGTAATGAAACAGCCTTTAAAATGCCAAGTAGGGGCATCCTGCCAGAAATGGGATACACTGGACGTGCTGCAGGCCCCCAAGCTCAGCAGCTGACAACTTGTCTCTGGATGTACCTGCGCTACACTCGAGGGTGCTCTGGAGGATTTGGAGGGTCACCACTTCACCTAGAGGCCGCCCAATGGCCACCACGCAGTCTACCTGCCCTTGACCTCGCATGTCAATTGTTCCTGTGGGCTCCAGGTATTGCCTTCCGCAGGCACCTACAGAGGGTGAAGGGGGAATGAGGTGATCAGAGCAGAGCAGGGCTGACAGCTAGGGCTGGCAAAGGTAAGTAGATGGCTGTAGGTCAGAGCATCAGTCACAATCCAAGGCACTAGGTCACGTCTATGTGATTCAGGGAAAGGGAGGCAGTGTGGTGTGTGGGCTTGGAACTCCATGGGCCTGAACTCCTGAGCTTGCAACCTTCAGGTTATTTGAAGGGGACAGAAATAAAAATGTGGCTTCTGAACTGGAGAGATGGGCCAGTCAGTAAAGTGCTTCCTTGAAAGCCTGGGGACCTGAATTCAGTCCCCAGAACCTACATTTTAAAGGGCAGGTATGGAGGTGCATTAAGTCCCAGCACTGGGAAGGCAGAGACTGGTGGATCCCTGGGGCTCAGATAGACAGATCCTGAGGAATCACACACACACACACACACACACACACACACACACACACACACACACACACACACACACACACACACACACACACACACACACACACGAAAAGTGTGGCTTCCCTTTACCAGATGGGAAGGAGGTCCTGAACCCATAGGCACGTGGTCTAGTGCCTGAGTGCTTGCCCAGGCAGGCCCAGGTCGAGATGCCAACCTCCCCAACAGGAAACAGGAAGAAACCTAACCAGACTCCTCCAGGCTTTCCTGGATCCCCGGAGATAGGGAGGCTGGGAAGAGGGTGCGGGCTTGGGCTGGGGGCTGGGACCACTCCAGAGAAGCAACAGTAACAGCAGCCTGGGTCTGGCTGGGAATAGCAGCTTCCTTCTGGGCCAGTGAGCTGGGGATCTCCTGCCCTGCACAGGGTCCAGCCCAGCAGCCCCTCACTGTCACTGGCTTGGGTAGGTGCTGGCAGAAGCTG